AGGGGGGGGGGGGGGGTGGTGGTGGCGTAATTCTGTCTGAAGGAATTGTTTTATGTAATTCTTTTCTTGTACACTTAGAAGCAGACTTAACTAATGTACTTTTCTAACAGGTGTTTAAAAGGTTTTAGAGTCAAACTCAGTGAACACTGTGAATGAAGCGGGAGGCCCTAGGGAATGAGAAAACGTGGTTATATAATTAAAAGTGATGACTTAGTTATTATTTTAGCAGATTTATATTTGCTTTTCTAGTAATAAGCAATGGGCAGCAGCAGCAATGGGCCAAGGGTGAATAGCAGTATCTTTTGCAGCACACTCCGGCAGCAGCGTTCTCAAAGGTGATGGTGACGGGGAACAGACCCACTGCTGCTGCCCTGCAAAGAGGAAATTGCTGGGCAGCAAGTCAGGCCCTGGCACAGAAGATCCCCCGTGTCCAATAAATGTTCAAATCAAGCTCTGGAGTGGAATGAAACACTGAACAAACCCTCCCTTTCACGTATTTTCCATTAACCTTATCTGTACACGTTGGGTGGCCCAGTCTAGCATTCAGCAGTGCAATACAGCTATGCTCTCTGGAGTCAAATACAACCTGTAGCGTTCTATTTTTCAGGGCTACAAGAGTCCTTACCTGATGGCTTCCTTCCCATCAAAGCCCGGAGGCATCGGCTCGATGTTATTGCTGAGGATGGGATGGTGGCTGCTCCCGCTGACACCCTGCACCCCCACATACCCACTCCGGGGCTGGAACCAGAACGACGGTCTCAGGAAGAAAGAAGGTGGATATGGTACTCCATAATTGTTTTATGTAATTCTTTTCTTGTACACTTAGAAGCAGACTTAACTAATGTACTTTTCTAACAGGTGTTTAAAAGGTTTTAGAGTCAAACTCAGTGAACACTGTGAATGAAGCGGGAGGCCCTAGGGAATGAGAAAACGTGGTTATATAATTAAAAGTGATGACTTAGTTATTATTTTAGCAGATTTATATTTGCTTTTCTAGTAATAAGCAATGGGCAGCAGCAGCAATGGGCCAAGGGTGAATAGCAGTATCTTTTGCAGCACACTCCGGCAGCAGCGTTCTCAAAGGTGATGGTGACGGGGAACAGACCCACTGCTGCTGCCCTGCAAAGAGGAAATTGCTGGGCAGCAAGTCAGGCCCTGGCACAGAAGATCCCCCGTGTCCAATAAATGTTCAAATCAAGCTCTGGAGTGGAATGAAACACTGAACAAACCCTCCCTTTCACGTATTTTCCATTAACCTTATCTGTACACGTTGGGTGGCCCAGTCTAGCATTCAGCAGTGCAATACAGCTATGCTCTCTGGAGTCAAATACAACCTGTAGCGTTCTATTTTTCAGGGCTACAGGAGTCCTTACCTGATGGCTTCCTTCCCATCAAAGCCCGGAGGCATCGGCTCGATGTTATTGCTGAGGATGGGATGGTGGCTGCTCCCGCTGACACCCTGCACCCCCACATACCCACTCCGGGGCTGGAACCAGAACGACGGTCTCAGGAAGAATGAAGGTGGATATGGTACTCCATACTTACCTAATTCAGAAACAAAGAAGGTGAGACGTCAACCAAAACCTGCTACGTGTCAACTCAACTTTGATAAATGCCATGTCCAGCCATCTCTGCCTCTAGGGCTGCAGAATACATCCTTAGAGCAGCGTAAAAGGATTGGTACGTCCTGCAAAGTTGTCCACCCGTCCACATCTGCGAATGCAGGAGGGCAACAATCACAGTGAAGACCTCATTGACCACCTCTTTGGCCCAGAAGTTAGAGGAAAATCAGGTGAAGTCCTACAACATCCTTTAAAACCCTGAGCTGCTGGAGTGAACGCAAAGAATCTCAGTGCCTCACTGCAAGGTTTATTGTTCCTTTTGGAGCCAGGGCCAAATGAGTTGGCTTCATGTGTCCAGCTTCTGGGAGAACAGGGTTCTTCCCCATCATTTCTGCCCAAGCACCACAGCAAATGCAGTTTCCAGCCCCTCACAGAACACGGCTCAGCTCATTGCTGTTAAGATGCCATCCCACAACCTGGCCAGCTCACTCCTGGGACACCTTTCTTGGTGCTGCATGTGGATTGCAGCTTTCTCAGCTCTACCCCACCACTTCTTCAGCACCTTTTCCCCTGTGATGGGAGAGGATTATAGAAGAAAAATGCAAGGAAGTTTGTGTTCTTTCCCTCACATTTCTACTTACCAGGCAAAACCTTATCGAAGTAGATGGCCAACAGCAAATACAAGACACTGTCCAGGGTCAGTGTGATGTACAGGGTAAAGAAAGGGTACAAGTCCGGTGCAAAGGCTGGTCCGTATTTTTCAAACTTTACCATCTAGGAGGAAAACAAGCATAGGTCAGATGCCACGCTTCCTTTAGCCAGAAATATTGACCACAAGTATCAGAAGTGCTTCAGGGAGTGAATTCAAAATTACGCAGGAGTTGTTACTACACCAGCAGAGTGACACACACAGTATTTGCCGGGACGGCACCTCAAGACCTCACGATTCTTCCACATCTTGGTACCCACCAGGGACATCCCACTGCTGCAGTAATTTTCCAGAGATCAAAATTTATTGTATATAGAGGGCTGGTAAAATTCATGATGCAGTTGAGAGTCTAACTATAGTTGTTACGAACTTGCATGTCCTTTTCAGAGTCAAGTTTTCTTTTCACAAAGCATCTGGGGCAGGGGTCATGATTAAGAGTGATTAAGGCAATTGCAAACGACGTATGGCAGCTACTGCTGTCTGGTAGAAGCCTGAAGCACGGTTGCTGTGGGCTGAACTTTGATAGTGTGCTGGCTTTATTTTGAACGTACCTTTGAGAAGCCAGCTGTGAAGGCAAAAGGACTGAAGAGATTAAAAATCCACTCCAAGGACACGGGTAGTTTTTCAAACAACGTCAGAAAGCCCAGCAACCCGAAGATGATGTGAAGGACAAATCCCACAAAACTGGCAATATTGGGCTGCTTTAACAAGGAGCTGAGCATGAAACAGAAGTGAATCTGCAGCAGAGAGAACCAGCAGTCAGTGGGATGCATTTCTGCTGGAGATTAAAGAAACCAACATGAAAAGCCAACAAGCAACGTGAGAGACCCAGCTGAGTTTCAGTTGCCCCTGCAGACGTGCGTGGCACATCCCAAGGCTTGTGTCACAGAGCTCTGATGCTTAGGGCAGGTCTATAGGGGCAGAGAGATGAGACCCCTCTCAGCCTCCCGTGGAGGAAGCTCTGGCCCCAGGGAGACTCAGCACCAGCCTTCCCATTAACACTGGTGTTAACACCTCTCTCTACTCTCATTTCAAATCAGAATCCCCCAAAATGTAACACCAGTGGTGTACTAGCCCATAAATTATAACAATAAATCCCAGTAGCGGAGAAGTTTTTGTTACTTTCTCATGTAATGCCCAGCCCTGGAGGACTCTGTTGTCTTTGAGGTTTAGATGGTTTCATTAGGAAGTGGAAAAAAACCAATTGTGCTGCATTTAAGAACACAAAGACAGACTTACAGATGCTATGCCATAAAAGAAGTAAAAAAAATATATCTCAAAAAAGCTGAAAACATGGGTGACTTCTCTAATTGTGATGAGTGTCAGCAGACTTGCTGTTATGGAGATGTAAACGCTGTACAGCAGGCTCCAGGACAACCTGCAAAGGAAGGCACAGTTACTTTTGCCTCTGGACATGACAGCACTTGCCATGACACAGCCCACACAAGAGTCACCCCTTTTAATTCAAATACCTCATAGTGCCAAACACACTTCCATTGGCAGTTTCCAGACTGGAAAGGTGGAAATATCCATACCTTGCACCTACCCACAGCTCTGCAGAGACAGAGGTGCCCGCACAGAGCCACGGGGCAGCGAGGCACGGGCTCTGCAGCCAGGAACACTGATTCTCACACTTTTCCCAATGATGTCAAATACTCATACTCAGGAGGCTTTGGAAGCCTGTTTTGATAGACACAGTGTCCCCCTGCACTTCAACATTTGTAATTTTCTCCAACATTTGTTGTATCTTCCCTTTTTGTGTTTTCCTGGAGACAAGTAACACCTCACAACAAGAACCTTGCTCCTCACGTCTCTGCTGCGTAAGGAGGCTCTTCTTCTTGTGTTGGGGGAGAAGAGCAGAGCAAAGTGTAACAAACACCAGAGAAGTCCTGGATCGGAGCCATGTGCTTGTTCTCCAGCAAACGATACCACACAGATCAAAGCAGCAACGGTTTTGCTTCAACAACACTCAAAACGTGGCTTCAGAGAGCAAATCACTGCTGCTGGGGCTTGGGGAATTACTGCTGCTCAGCCCAGCACTGGTACCAGACCCACATCCACCCCCCAAGCTCGCCTACATCTTACATACACAAAATAATGTAATTATGGTCATTACACAGTTTATTTCTACGAGACTTACCAGAATGCAATGTCTTGCAAACCCATTGCTCTCATTAATACCTTGAGCTGTTTCTTCTCTCTTATAACTTTCACTGATAAAAAGTACATGTATGGGGAGAAGCAGAATATAATGTAAATAATGAACCAAATATAACCCATTTTATACACAGGTTTGATCAAGGGTGATTTCGTGTGAACGCCGCTAATTGACTTCATCTCTTCCCAAACAGAATGGTTCGTTTTCACCTAAAGAAAATAAATTGTTATTTTGATTTTCTGTAATGAAACAACCAGCATCGGAGCAAGCAGGTTTTCATAAGCATTAAAATTATTAGTTTATCAATAATAATGTTACATTTATAAGTGGAAAATAACCTCAATATTTATTACCTTTTTTCATTGCCTTGTAATAAACACTAACGCTGCCTTGAGCCATGAGAACATCTACCATTTTTTTAACTTTTGAATCACACTCAGAATTTAAAAAGCTAATGATTGCAGAAAATGAATGGGTTTGGGCTTGTTTATTTCATTTGGCGTTTTTAGTTGGTTTTTTGTTTTTGCTTTGTTTTTTGTTTTTTTTTTTAATTTAGAAGTAACTCTGTAAAGAACAGAAAACATATTTTCCATCACGATGCTACTTACTTGTATGAGTGCTGCATCGATGCTGGACTGCACTGACAGGAAACCCCCGTGCCAGTACAATGGGAATTCACAATAACTTGATGAAAAATTGTAGCAGGTATCTGTGGGAAAGGGGGAAAAAAAAAAAAAAAAAAAAAAAGAGAAGAATTTGATCTCTATAATTCCATATATATGTGTACACGTATGTGAAGCACCTCCAGGAAAACCAGAGCCGGGGTCATGTCTGCGATGAGGTCCCTTCCAACCACTAAGATTCTGTGATTCTATGAGCTACCAACTGGTGTTGGCAGAATAAAGATCCTCTCCATCATTTCCATTTTCCAAGACCCGTTCTTAGCAAAATACCCATCAACTGATGAGCTCCTCTGACTTTTTAGCTGATAAGTTTATTTTTTGTTTCCATTCGCTTACCTCTTTTAGTCAGTTCATGGTTTAGTGCTGGTGGGGTTTTTCTGTTTGTAATCAGAGTTAGGTTGATGGTTGGACTAGATGATCTTAAAGGTCCCTTCCAACCCAGACAACTCTATGATTCTATGAATAGGGGTGTACTTGGTCAAAGAAGTCACAACATGAACAAATGTGTGTGCAGAGTTATGTTTTCACATATTAAATATATGTCTGTGCACTGTATATTAGAAGTACATTAGTACACACAAAATGTTCATTTGCAGGGCATGATTTGACGTGATAGGACATGCTCTTAAAATTCTTTCTCTGACTTCTGTTTCCTTCTGAGTGGACAAAACCTTAAATTCTGATTGATATCTTTCCTGAACCATTTAACACATCCAGCCTTGATCCCTTCTGAGCGGCACAGCAGCAGAGAGACCCATCTAAGCATTTTTTAAATGTAAAATCAAGTTCTCTAGTGCCATTTATTTTGTTACCAATGTGTTCAAAGGCATCATCTGGAGGTACCACTCTGTCGTGCTGGAATCTGAGACGGTAGGAGAAGTCATCCTTAAAAACAACACCAATGACGTCTTCCTCCTCAAATCCTATCGTTTCCAGTTTTTTCTCACTTTCTACCTCTTCTATTATTATACCTGTCGTTAAAAAAAAAAACCAATCACCAACAAAACCCATGAGAGTCGTAACTGATTAGTCATGCAACAACATGGGAACGTGCACCAGCCACAATTTACCTGTCAAAGCAGAATCTGCAGCCACGTGGCTCATTATCTGCCGGGTGGTGTTTGTCACGGGGGTGTAGGCCAACGTCACTCCCGTGGCATTAAAGGCAGGGTCGTCCAATCGCCCGAGGGAGACGTAAGGGACTTCTTGCCGTGGGTGGTGGAACACCATATTTGACGACGCTTGTATTATTAAGAGCAAAATCACCGATGTAATCCATTCCTAGAGGAAAGGAAGGAAACGTAAAGGTGAGTGGCAGCACAGAGCCTGGAAGGTGGTGTTGGAAAGTGTCTTCAAGGGCCTTCTCTATCCAGCACTGATCGGCTGCACAGCCCAGGTCTTCCAGTCATGAATGCCTTCTTTCTGTAGACGAGGAAGAGCTATTTCACAGGTGTAATCGTTTGAAAACATGAGAAATGTTCCAAGCGAAAAAGATGTTTTCTTAGTACCAAAGCCAACAAGGTCTGCTGATAGCTCTACACCCGTACTCACGAACTGGACATTGTGTTCTGCGCAGAAATGGGATCAACAACCAAAAGCAACAAACCAGCTTTGTAACAAGCCCGTACTGTGCTGTGAGATCGTAGTGTCACAGGAAGAAGTGAAACTGCTGGTATTTTCCAGAGAACCACATTACCAGCTGAGGCTTCTCATATATCTTCTAGTACATAGCGATGTAAAAACACTTGGTAGTGGAAATCCAAACCTCCCTTTTGAAGAACCAATACTTGCCTGAAAACTTTCTGTCTTCATCCTCCACACCAGAAGAATATTTTTCCATAGAAGAACCCGGGTTTGCCGAAATATTTTTGAGGCTCTCTTGAATATCCCCTGCATTTTCCCAGCTAGGATGAGAAAGGTAATAATATCATTGAGGATAAAACAGGTCACTGGGAGTTAATATATTTAACTTGAGTAAAAGCCAGATCAGAGGATGCCAATAACACACCAAGGGTTAAGAGCTTTTCTCAGTTTTACAATTTGGACAACCAAGGAGAAGTTCAAAGGAAGAAGTCCAAGATCACGGAAGAAAACAGAGAGATGGGTTGGACTCAGCTGCCTCTTCCACGTGCACAGATTCATCCTTCTTCATCCCAAAGAGGCTTTGTAGAAAGAGGCATTCAGCTGGCCATAGTCTCGTTCTTCATCTACATAAAACTAATGATACAAAAGTCAGTCTGCCCTGCACTAAAAATGTGAGAAGATTGAATGGCATATAGAAGAAAGAACCTATAAATTTTAGTTTTCTTTTTTTTTTAATGCAGTTATTCAGAACACTTTAAACATACATCATCTGCAGCAGCAGTGTCCAACCCAGCTCTGGAGAGCAGTAGCTCTGGTTTACGGTGCAGATCTGAGCTGAGCCTCAGATCCTGCATTTCTTACATTGAATTTCTGTCTTGCCTCAGACACGGGGTAAGTAGACCCCAAACCACCCCCAGGAGGTACTTACCTTCTCCCCACATCACCTGCAGAGGGAAGGCAGCTGCCACCCAGGGGGCAGGTAGATGCTAGAGCAGCCTAAAATACCTGCTGCCAACATCTCCCTTAGGCAGGCTGATGAGAGACCAATTTTTCATGTTTTCACCCAAATGCTAATAAAATGGATTATATCTCTGGTATAGGTAGAGAAGGGAAGCATTAAAACACCAGTGTGCTTCTTTATATCCTCCTAAATATGGGGAGGGAGGATTTCTTGGGGGATATTTTGATGGGGATTTTTTTTCAGCTCAGGTTTGGGTCATGTGGCCAAGCAACAAATACCCTGTGCAAGAAAAACAGCAGAGTGACTGGTTTCCCAACCTTCCCAGAAGGAAAACAGGGGAGGGAACCTCAGAACATATTTTTGAATTTTAATCCTTTCAAATGGCTGAAACCGAAAATCAAAGCAACCTCAAAGGCATTGTGCTCTTCTCCCCTTGGACATCGCTTCCTGATCCCGTGGACTGGGCAGCTGGAGTCAATAAACGCTTCTACTACTCTGCTCCCCTCCTGGTTTGTTTTTGGAAGAATTAAATATTTGCGTGCTCCAGGGGCGACGGATCCCCATCCCTGTTTACCCTCGGAGTGCTGGCACACGGCTTAGCCCCGCTTTCCCTGCCTCCTGCTTTCTCCTCTCCTGTGCTTCCCCACCGCAGCCTGCGACGAAGGTTAGAGCCACCTGGGAAGGGATTTCGAGGAAGTGTCCTTCTTTTTTGCCCAGGTCTGGATTTCGGTCGCTGCAAAGCACAAGCAGTAGCCCCAGGACACCGGGGCAGGAAACAAAGGTTCACGCTGGAGTATTTGGGTAACATGGAAAGCACGACAGTCTTGTGAAACTGCACTGAATCTCTACAGACGTAACAAACACTTCATTTAAAAAAAAAAAAAAAAAGATGGAGCAAATCTAATATTTTTTAAAACATTCCAATTAAATTTCTGTTGGTTTAAATCTCATTTTTGCCTTTGGAGCAAGAAGCAAATGCCCCTAGAAGCTGAAGTGTGAAGTCAGGAAGTCCAACAAATGATGCTGCCTAAAACACTGCGTGAGGTTCCCCAGGAAGAATGTAATTTACATTTGATACCGAGACACACAAAACGGGAGAGATGCCTCTGCCAGACCCGAGATGCAAAACTGCAGTTTCAGAGGACAAAAAACAAACATCAGAAATGTCTTTGGAGGCAACAGTGTTTGAGAAGCCTTGAACCAGTCAGAGCATCGCTTGTAAAACTGGAAGAATTTCCCTCCCGAGGACTCAGTAAATGCACCCAAACCTTTCGCTCCCCGGGAACACATTTCCCAGGGACTGAGATAACTTTGATGGGGTCCCCGTGCCCAGCTCTGCGGAGCCAAAGGTGTCCCAGGATGACACGTGCCGTGTATCCACCTCATTTATTTACCGTCTCAGGGATTTCCTATTTGACACCTCCTCAGGCTTTTTTTTTTTTTTTTTTCCCCTCTAATAAAACCTGAACAGAGGATACTGTGACTAACTCTATCGTGGCAGAGACCCCTGATGCTGGCTGTGAGGAGAGCCCAGAGGAGCCACCAGCTTTCCCAGCGCCAAGGACTAATCCCTGCTCACAGGGAGGGCAGAGGGAACCGTGCTCCCCCCACATACTCCTGTCTGCCAGTTGTTGCAAGTGCAAAAAAAAAAACAACTGCATCTGGCCAGTACACAGCCCTGTCTTTAACTCCTGATAAATACGAGCCAGGTTTGTACTGGCTCTACTCTTTAACATACAGTTTTTGAAACAGGGTTGTTATTTTTTCCTACTCTCAACTCAAAAAAAAAAAAAAAAAATAGCTGTAAGCCTGCCCTGTGTCAAAGTTCAACACTAGTTCATACATAAAAAGTTTGGGGTTCATGTTTTTAAAAGCCTTTCTGGGTGCTCAGAAGGGGAGCCAAGGGAGGGACCATGAGCTGGTCATGAGCTGGGAGGACCCAGCCTCAACCTGGGGCTCTTCGCCTGGAGCCAAACATCAGCAGCGAGAATCAAAACCCACACACACCCAGAAAAGCAGAATATTTTTGCTCCTTTGCCTCTTAAACATGTGAAGCTCAGTGTTTGTCAGAGAGCAGAGCTGGGAAGTAGAGCTGTCACGCACTCAGCGTAACGCTCTATTTGAAAGAATAAAGAAAAAGTCAATCACCAAACACAACCCCTGCACGAGAATGCCCCAGGCATCATTTTTCCCTTAACAAAAGAGAAAGATGAAACTCCTCACCTGATGATGTGTTTTCCATTAGACCTGTGTCTCCTCCAGCTCCCAGATGCCTGGGCTCTTCCTCGGGTGGCGGTGCCGGAGTGGGTTCGGTGCGGTCCCGCAGCCCGATGGCCATGCCCCCCCCTCCAGCCTGACGTCAGCCCCGCTCCCGAATGCTCCCAAACCCTCCCACAGCAACAACCCAACCCTGGAGTAAAACCTCCAGCCTCCTGGCCTAGAGCTCGGAGGCATTACCATGGCATTCTGCAGCATTAATGTGACACGTGCCTTGCGTCTGGTACAAACAGCACGTTTCTGGTGGGTCTCCGAGCCCTGGGGAGTGATGCCGTGCCCTGAGCCGGGGTCTCCGAGCCCTGGGGCGTGATGCTGTGCCCTGAGCCAGGGTCCCAGGTGGTGCCAGAGCAACCTCGTCCCTGTCCAAGCTCCTCCAGAGGGAAACCTTCACCGCCTTCTCCCCGTCCCGCGCAGCGCCCGAGGCAGCCAGCCCTCCTTCCTCTGCAGGCACCAACCCCACAGCCAAGGACCAACGGGATTTTAATTCCTCATTTCGCTCTTCCCCTTTGTTTTTAATAATATTTTGTTCGTTCCACTCCTTTTAATTGCTTTTCCAGCAGCTGTCACACAGCTGGAATCAGGACAGTTTGTTGGGTTGGTTGTTTGTGGTTATTTTCTTTAAAAAAAAAAGAAAAAAAAAAAAAAAAAAGAAGGATCTGCATTCAAAACAGGGAGGTGAGGAAATGGGATAAGCCAGGAAATCCAAATGAGTTGGAAGGGCGCGCAGCCACACGACAACTCGAGTAGTTAAAGGAATTTGACTGTCCTGGAGCTTCAACAGCTTGAGGACTCTGCATCTCATTTGCAGAGCTGACTGAAACCACAAGAGCCGCCTGGTTGTTGCTTAACAAAAGGCTGTAGCTCTTCTGCAGCTGCCGATTTACTCATTTTCCAAGAATGAGCTCATTTCAGAGAGGAGCAGAGCATTTTTCTCCATCACTTCCCATTGGGCAACAAGGGAGGACTGGGGAAGGTTACTCATAACTGCAAAAAGCACACACGAGATGCACTTCACTAAGAAAATACCACATTTCTGAGCTGTATCCTGTGCCACAGTGTGCTGGCAGCACCGGGGGGTCCCCACGTGCCTGCACGTTGTCTACAGAAAATGCAGTTTAACATAAAAATGACACCTGCTCCTTGGGGTTTCCCATCCTGTGTCTCTGGGTCTTGCTCCTGCCTCCTTGGACCCCAGTCTCAGGCAACCCCTTGGGGCTTCCCTGGGAAGCAGCTGGAGAGCAGGTAGCATCTCAAGGTGTCATTGATTAAATCCCCAAACAGTTGCTCCCCAGGGGACTGGGGACCAGCCTCGGATCGACCAGGAGGAGAGGATGGGCTGGGGTCAGAGCAGCATCCTCTGAGGGGGACACTCCAAGCAATGCATTTCAGGAAAAAGGAGAGGCAAAAGCTCCTGGAAACTCTTATCAAGGAGAACTTCAGCATCCTAAATGAGGGATTTTCTGGCCATCTTTTAAAGGAAGCACTACAAGGGAATGGATTCATTTTACAGCATTAAAAAAAAAAAAAAAAATTGGGAACTTTCACCAAGTTCAGATTAAATTCCTTTGGGGTTATTTTTCTCCCCACTGAGGGGCAGGGAGTGCAACCCCCTTTTCTTTTGCTGGGTCCTCAGCTGACCCACAGGGCTGGAGGTGGATCTTCTCCTCCTTCTCCCGGCAGCAATTCCCCAAATTCAATTAAAACCATGTAATTACTGCAGGCTGACACCCCTCGCCATGCCAGGGGCCGGGGTGCCCACGCTCTGCCCACGTCCCCGCTGCGCTCCAGGGAACAGCAAAGGCTTTTGAAAAGATATTTCCTCTATTTCTAGCACGGCAAGGCACACGCGTGATGGAAACACAAGCATTTAACAATCCAATCCATCTTTATTTTGGTAGTACTTTCTGCTGGAAAAGGAAAAACCTTCACTTTACAAATACAGCAAAGTGGTAAAAGAAGGACTGGCGTATAAAATAAACTGGAAATGATTCAAAGCGCCTGACGGCAACATCAGGAGGAGAGTTATAAACACCTTTAGACTTGGTACCTTCTGTTTCCTGCTACTGGATGTGGGCTATGTGACAAACTTCACTCACTCTACAGAGGTATTTTTAAAATAAGGGCTTTTCTTGGTGATGTAAACAAAATCAGAAACATTAAATTCCTCCATAGAAAAATACAACCTTGTACTAACACCACAAAGTAAATGCATCTTCCAAGTTTCAGCCGTATTAGCTAACTATTTCTCACAACAGCCCTGGGAAGGGTGGCACAAAGGGACCTGATTTGCCCCTCGTCCCACACCCAGCCCCAACCCCGCTGCCCTGGCCCCAGTTTCCCCCCTAGAGCACAAACTGGTGAATGGTGCAGCTGGATTGGGCATGTCACCGGTAACAGCAGAATAAAACCTGCAGGAATAAAGCTTTGCAGGTCCCAGGGGATTCTCTAGTTTAATTTTGGATGTGTTTTCCCCTACTCTGGCAATTACAGACGCCGTGTGACACTCTGAAAGCCATCGGGCACAATACACCCCCATTACAGCGATGCTTTGGGGAGGCACCTTACGCCCCATCGACACAGGACACGCCAAAAAGATGCCACCCAAACACACAGTTAGCTGCAGGAGCCAAGTTCTTTGTGCATCTAACTGCATAAATACAGTGCCAACATCAACCGAGTGGCTCCAGGGTGAACACCCACAGGCCCAAGCTGAACAGCTCTGGATGCCAATGGAAGTCTTCATGCCATCCCTTTGAAACGTCAGGAAACAAGAAAACTATTTGAAAGGGGGTGATGTCACCCAGACAGCACTGAACAACTCTGCAGACTACTAACTCTAAGTTAAAGAATAAAATTAAGACATGGAGGCTCACAGGCCACAACTGGACTTTCCCAATCTCGCTGCTGGACAGATGTGCAGGTGACACTCAGCTGAAAAGCCATTTACAAAACGAGATGGAAGTAAGAAGGGATTTGGAGAAGACACACTTAGCTGGTACATACAGATAGGGGAACGCATCACGAGACAAAATTCTGGGTCCCACCTTTGCTCCAAGTAAAGGAAAATGCTCAGAGATACTGGCTGGCAGCAGGGATGCAGCTGGGAGGAAGGGGCTTGGGCTTCCCAGGGGCTAAATAAAAGGCTGCATGAAGAAAAGAGCTTTTTCTTTTCTTACGGGGAGTTCCCAGGGGCTAAATAAAAGGCTGCATGAAAAAAAAGAGCTTTTTCTTTTCTTACGGAGAAGCTTCAGCCCTAGAAAGGTTGTTACTGGAGCTGCAGTTTAGAGGCTGGTGCTGTAACCCTCATCTTCACACGTGGTTTGTTCCAGCCCAGGAGTGCTGGGATACACCAAGTACCAGGGCTCAGCATCACGGGCAGACTCAGTCTGTGCCCCCGAGGGGAAGGGACCCATCCCGGGGGAAGGGACCCATCCCTGGGGAAGCAAACGGGACGTCCAGGGGTTTCTGCAGCTCTTGGGCTCAGATTTTAACTACAAACCAAAATCTGTGCGTTTATATGCAACCCACAGGTAGAAAAGAGGGAGCAAGAGTCGTACATTGAGTTCACAACCTCCCATCGCAGAACAAGAAACTAAGGCAAATGGATTTTGGCTCAACACAACAATAAACCATCATCAGACACACAACATACATTATTGCCTGACAATTACAAACAGTTGGGACACAGAACTCCACCTTAAGCCACATTTTTTTGAGTTTTCACAAGAAAAGCAAAGGTCTTTTCTAACTTTACTGTGAAGATATATATGTGATATTTCTTATGAAGCCAGTGTTTCAATAGAAATGTTTCTCTGTATTTGTTCATCGCAGGACACAACAAACTGTTAGCATCTTTAATTTCACCTTATAAGACTAAAAAAAGTGATGATAGCTTTGCATAGAAAAAAAAACAAAACAAAAAATACATATTTTCAACATACACGTGTCATATCTTAGGATAAAGGATCACATATTCTGCTCTTCTGAGTGCTTCTATGCAAACCAAAGGCACGATTCCTACTGATGAGGCTGTGAATTTGGACCTTATTTTTTGGGTGGTTTACGCAGGTGAATGAAAAATGGCCAGGCCAGGCCAAAGCAAACGTTCCTGTGCTGAGCACACGACTGCACCACTTACTGCTATCACAACAAAGACGGATTAGGAAATGCCCTTGCATCTACTTATGAATCCACTGCCAAGAGAAACGAAAACATGTGCAAAGGACTGTCTCGGAGAGCAGCTGGCAGGAGACAGGGCGTTCCACCCACCACAAGAATTAGGCTGTTTGTCATGAAGACGAGAAATACTCACATCTCTGCAAACCCCGTAACTACAGTTATGTCTTTGTACTTTTACCGAGCTGGGGGGGGAAAAAACCAAACCAACAAACAAACCAGCATCTGCTTCTGTACACCCCCTTTAACCCTACAGTGCATGCATCACTAACACCAACCCCCCCAGCACGGGGTCCCCCCCAGCCACCAACCTGCAGCCGGGGGGGTGAGAGGTGCTGATGAGGACCATGTTACGGCTGTAAATGAGGATTTTCGTGGGGGTTGGGCACCAAGCCAAGCTCGTGGCACAACTCAGGACCCTCTTTGCGGTGAAGGTGGTTACTTTGGAGATTTCCCCCCCCTCTCTCCTAAGCAGGTGCATCTTCTAAGCGTTAAGCAGGGACGGAGCAGCCGGGACCTCGCAGGGACACGTGTCCACAGCCCAGGGCAGGGGCACGGCAAGACCCACCAACCAGCAACACTCCAGCAGCCACTGGTTTTGCCCAAAGGCACAACTTCCAGCAAGGAGAGCCCGGTCAGGGGCAGCCGGGGCTGAGGGAGGGAGGGAGGGAGGTGGGGGCTGTGGCACAAGCCACCAACTTGCCACCGGCGCCAGGAGATGACCCACTGCCTGGGCAGCACCTCCTTGCCCAACACAAACTGGGAAACAGTGGGCAGGAGATGGAATTCCAGACCAGGCTGAACAACGTTGGGGATGCTCACCGCTATCGGGGCGATTCCTGAGGCCGGGATGGTGGGACACGCTCTGGGCTTCCAAATGCCATTCCCTGTGCCCACCCCGGCTCCGGATCCCCCCACACACAGGCCCCATGGCACGGGCAGGCCGTGGCCGGCACACAGCCCCAGCTGGGGAGAACATCTGGGCCGTGAGGAGCTCAGAAAATGACTCTGTCCTCCTGCGTCCTCTCCCACCACAGCGTGCTGTTCAGCGTCCCGAACCCGCTGTCCTCCTCCTCCTGCTCCCTGGCCAGCTCCACGAACACCTGGGGGGCAGGGACAGGCTGTGAACACACCGCGCTCCCCGGCCACAAACAGGATCAATGCTAAACACCTCACAGGTACTGAACGTATCACTTCATCTCCAGAGAGGAAGTTTTTAGTATTTGGGGTTGGGGAGAACATCTGGGCCGTGAGGAGCTCAGAAAATGACTCTGTCCTCCTGCGTCCTCTCCCACCACAGCGTGCTGTTCAGCGTCCCGAACCCGCTGTCCTCCTCCTCCTGCTCCCTGGCCAGCTCCACGAACACCTGGGGGGCAGGGACAGGCTGTGAACACACCGCGCTCCTCGGCCACAAACAGGATCAATGCTAAACACCTCACAGGTACTGAACGTATCACTTCATCTCCAGAGAGGAAGTTTTTCATATTTCGGGTTTATTGTCTCCTTGCTCCACCTCATTTCCTCCAGAGCACAGTGAATCATCGAATGCTATGGGGTTGGAAGGGACCTCTGGAGATCATCTAGTCCAACAGCCCCACCAAAGCAGGGCCACCCAGAGCAGGTCCCACAGGAACGTGTCCAGGTGGGTTTGAATGTCTCCAGAGAAGGAGACTCCACCACCTCCCTGGGCAGCCTCTGCCAGGGCTCTGCCACCCTCACAGGAAAGAAGTTCCTCCTCACGTTTAGGTGGAACTTCTTATACTCAAGTTTGTGCCCATTTCCTCTTGTTCCATCACTGGGCACCACTGAAAAAAGACCAGCCCCGTCCTCCTGACACCCACCTTTTAAGTATTTGTACGCATGTCAAAATGAAGTTGAACCAAATACAAGCTGAAGGACACTTATGGTCAGCAATAACTAATGCAGAATAAGCAGTAATAAACCTCGGCTTTACCCTCCTTTCAGAAATGAACAGCAATGCCCATCCTTTGACTAAATCAGAGCGGTATTTCCACAAACACCACAAATTTATTTTGCCCCAATCACTGCAGTTGGCAATCTATTTTTAAAGGGGAATACTCTTAAAGGAGAAAACAGGAATAAAGAGGAGCAGGGGAACTGGCAGCCCCCAATTCACTTTGGAAAAGGGAATTTCAGTTCCCCAAAAATGCCTGAACAGGCCCCAGCTGCCTGAAATATGGGCACTGAGGACGAGCTGCCAGCACAGGGCTCCCCGTCCTCCCCATCCATCCCTCCACCCCGACGTGCCCAGACTGCACCCACGGCTCCTGCACGGTGGGGACAAAGCCAATCCAGCCCAAACACCTGCAAAAACCCCGTCAAAAATCCTGCAGCACCCTCACGGGCTGGGGGTCCTCCCCCGGAACAGCCCCTGCTGTGACCCACCTGCTCCAGCGTCGCCTGGGAGAAGCTGTACTCCTCGATGTTAAAGGCATGTTTCACTGTCAGAAGAACAGAGAGAGTCTATTTAGGGACACTTCACTCTCTGACCCAACTTGATTTAGAGCATCTTAAGCTGGTACAAGCGCTTACTCGTCATTTCCCAAAAAACAGAGCTGGGGACATCAGTAATAACAGAATAAAATAAATTAAATGAATTTGGAACAGAAATGCAAAAGTGGCACCACATGGCAAATATGTCAGTTATGGGAGACAAAATGATTTCTGTATGTGATGGGTAGCAAGTGCTTAGTTACCTTCTTCCAGCTTGGAAAAAGAATGTGAAAGCGACTGTACATCTTCTTTAGGGATTTTATATGCCAAAATAGAAGCAAAACTGGAAAAAAAGAAACAAAGCAAGTTTAGCTGCAGGTAAAACTACTCAAAGCAAAAATAATAATATGCAAGTGAATGGATCTGAACTCTCTCTCTTCCAGGCATTTTGACAAGACATCATCATACAAGAGGAGTGATGCAGCTCCAGCAGACCAGCTGGTTTATAACCCCAACCAGAGATCCAGGTCCAGGTGCATCAGTAAAGCCCCCCCTGAAGCTGCTCTATGATTTACATGCTCTTCAGCCAAGATCCAACCATTTCTATTCTGCCTATAAATTCATGAAAGAAAAATCACTGCCCGGAACTCCCGAAGTTATGAGGTTTTTGCCTTTCCACTGAACTCAGATGGAGGTCACAGGATCTTTTGGGACCCAGACTCCAGAGCAGGGACCTGCTCTACCCCACACACTGGCTTCTGAAAAATGAGCTCTCCTCCAAACCCCTCACGTTTGAGGAATGCTGCCTACACGATGCCTTTTTTCGAGAGTCTCAGTGACCACCAAGCCAGACCCAGGAGCTCCTACAGCAGAAATTCAAAGCCATTGGGGGAAACCAACCACAGCCCCCCCCTCAAACCCCCAGGAAACGTTCAAGCATTTCCAGAGAAGGGCCAGTGACTCAGAGACTCAGATTTTACCCCATTTCCCAGGGGCCCTGACCGAGGAGGAAGCCGTCAGGCACCAGCTATGCAGAAATCAAGTTTTGCTTCCTCTGTGCCAAACATCTGCAGGCAGGGCTCCGGGCCACCACCCTGGCAGCTTTTGCTGGCCTGCAAAACCCTTCCTCTTTTTTTTTTTTTTTTTTACATTTTTATTTTTTTTTAAGCTACATGTAAATATCTTTTGTAAATTTTGGCACCAAGTAGGTACCAAGGAGCTGCTGGGAAATCAGAGGATTCGTGTTAATATCAATGTGTTCTGCATATTTGTTGAACTTCACCTTTCCTGACGATTTGCGTTGGGGAAGATGTGCAAAATCTGGTTCTGCAGATACTCCACCTGCTGTACATCTGCTGTCTCCTTTAATTTCATTTCCAGGAAGTATCCTCTGCCGAACTTACTCTTCAGGTGTTGCACTGTACCTATGCACCTACCAACCACAGAGAAAAACCAGAGCTGTATGTGTATATATACGTATATTCAGCTACACACTGCACTCAAAAAGCAGCCTCAGCTCTAACAGACCCGTTTTGCAGCGTAAGGTTTAATTTTGCTCCCAGTTTAAGACAAAAAAAAATTGTCTACCCGTATTTTCAAAGCAATATATTCCAGTTGACACCCATCCTACCCTCCCTGCCACACACAGGGGAGGGCTCTGGCGGTACCTGAGCTGCCCGGCCACCAGGATGGCCACACGGTCACAAACAGCATCTGCCTCTTCCATGTAGTGGGTGGTCAGGATAGCTGCTCTCTCCTTATTCTTAAACGCTGCTCGAATCGCCCGCCTACGAAGCAGAACCAAAAACCATCCCTGAATAAAACATTTGGCGTGTAACAGCAAATCCAGGGTCAGCTGGACCAGAGGGCTGCGATGGTCAAACGCAACCCCTGTATTTTATGGACCAATGCTACTCCCACAGCAACAATTAAAACCTGATTATTTTTTTTCCCCACAAAGATGACTCAAATCTCATACTCCTTGTATTTTAAGATTTCTTTCGAACTTGTATTTTAAGATTTCTTTCGACTTTCAAGCTTTTAATCTGGGAGTTATTCCGGGAGAGGACGCAGAAGTGCACCTGGCACCGAAGCAGTGTCCACTTTCAAGCTTTTAATCTGGGAGTTATTCCAGGAGAGGACGCAGAAGAAGCGCACCTGGCACAGAAGCAGTGCCGATTCCCTGCCTTTGGCTCTCCCTAGTGTTAACAGGGATAATGCACATGGAAAATGGGGCAAATTCCCCAAGAGAAAGGAGCGGGTGGCCGGCCCAGCCCCGCTGGCACTCACCACATGTGCTGCTTGGCTTTGGGATCCATCCCAGTGGAGGGTTCGTCCAGGAGCGTCACCCGGGGGTTGCCCAACATGCTCAGGGCAAAGCACAGCTGGGAGGAGGCAAAGGGAGAAGGTGAGGACACTGTGGGCCCCGGGGGGGACACAAGCAGCGTGGCAGCTCGGGGGGCTCCCCCCTACCTTGCGTTTCAGCCCGACCCCCAGCTTCTTCGTCGTCTTCTGCAGGTGGTCCCCTAAATCCAGGGCACTGGCGATGCTGCGGGAAGGGGAGGACCACACGTGAGAAGCCAAGAGGGGGATGGTTTGGCTTCCCCTCCATCACACAGGATGCAAACAGTCCCGTTCAAAGAGCTCAAATACAAATATTTGTATGTAAAATATATAAAAAAAGGCAGAGCAATAAGCTGAATTGGAGCTGGCTGCTTCTACACAAAACCTCCTGCACCATGTCCTAGGAGGTGACAACCCAGAAATGGCTCCAAGCCCTGAACAGCCTTTGCAGAGGCCCCTGTTAGCACTTCATGACTTAAAAAATGGAAAAATTTATAAATGCCAGTTGAATTTTGTGTGGCTGAATCTGTATCTCCTGACATAAAAATTCACACTTGCTGAATTCGCTGAAAAGATCCCATCAAACTTAAACGAACAAAAATATTGCCTTAGGGGATGTGGGGGAAAAAAGCCCTAAGAAAAATATAGCTAAATGCTTAAACCTTCCTCTAATAAACTACTTACCGTTTTACGACTTCCTTAACATCGCTCTGACTCATTCCTTTGATGGCACCATAAATTTCAAAGTGCTCCTGCAGGGTAATATCTGGCCAGAGCGGGTTGGTCTGAGGACAGTACCCCACAAACCTCACTGAGTCATCGTCGCCGCTCGGGCCAAAAGAGCCATCTCCCATCAGAACCTTCAAAAAAAACGCACAGACTCCAATCAATATTATCAGTTTCAGAACTGTTTTTGTAAAGTTCTAGCAAAAACCACTTGGGAATGCTTGCCATAATAGTAAAAAAAGTAAAAATAGATTCATTTTCTATTTAGTTTGTAGCATGTAAGTACCTGTCCACTGGTTGGCTCAATCTCTCCAACGAGCATATTAATTAACGTGCTTTTCCCAGCTCCGTTGGGTCCCAACAGCCCCAGTATTTCTCCTGAAGGATGGAGGAAACACAAAACATTGGCCGGGAGGTCAGAGAAACAGCATCAAGAGTCGTTTTTCTAAAAAAACAGCTCAACAACAAGTAATTTAAATCCAACCTTTTTTTACACACAGAGACACATGTTTCGTTGCCACTTTCTTTATTTTTCTCCCCAGAAGAAACTCCTTTCTTTCATCAAACTCTTTGTGCAAGCGGCTGACCAGGATTGCTGGCATCTGGCAGAGAAGGGAGAAGAGGCTGCAGATCCCAGTAGCTCTGGGAAAGCTCCCAGTTTGGGGTCTGGGAGCACCCACGGGCACACGGCGTTACCTCCTCGCTCCTGGGGCTGCTCAGGAGCTCCTGGACCCGCAGCCTCTCCGCCCTCACGTCCTCGTCTTCGCTCTCATCCGGCGGGACGTCGGCAAACTTCCAGGATTTGGGTTTTGTGGAACATTTTCTACAGGGGAGACAATAACAGGCAGCCTCTGCTGGGCGTTGAGGTGGAACAAAGCTCTGGGAGAAATCAGTCGGGGTTTGCTCCCTGCTTTGATGCACAAAGTGATTTGTGTTTGGCCGGAACTCGGAGAAACACGTCTCTGCTGCACGAAGGAGAAGCCCCAAAAGAGCCATCAATGACTTTAACCATCTCATCTTTGTGCTGAGCTCCTCTTTGGGGTACAGCATCTCCAGCTGTGCAACCGCAAAGGAAGTTCCCCTGTTTTTATATAGGGGGTGTCCTTACAAAATTCCTGATTTTGCACTGATACAACTTAAAAGGAAGTAAAAAAACCAAACCTGTTTCCGCACTTTACTGACTGAGTCTCACAAAAGTAAAGTTAGGAGAACGGATTCTTTAGATACCTGGGATGGGATGTAACCACAGGTATTTTATGTTCTGCAATATCCCCCACAGCTTTACACTGCATATTCCAGTTTAATCACCAGCATCATTTTTAAAAACGGCTCCTTCAGACCATTATTTTTTAAAAGTCTGTTCAACATAGACACACCTGAAAAACGGATCCTCTCTGACTGTCCTCCCTCCGTTCTTCAGCTCGAAACAGCGCAGGAGGAAGAGCCACACGACACACTGCAAATAGGGCTGAAACACACAGACACAGCCCTGGTCACTGGCAGCACCAACAGCCCTGTGAGGCTGGGGCTCCTACAGGTCACCCCATAGGTGGTGCTCCTATGGGTCACCCCATAGGTGCTCCTACAGGTGATCCCATAGGTGGTGCTCCTATGGGTCACCCCACAGGTGCTCCTACAGGTGATCCCATAGGTGGTGCTCCTATGGGTCACCCCATAGGTGCTCCTACAGGTGATCCCACAGGTGCAATGAGTGACAAGAAGCTCCAGCCCTTCCCCACCACAGAATTGCTGATGCTTCCAAGAAAATGAAGTGTATCATGAGATGCTGCTCAGTGGGTCCACACCAAGGACACACAACCAGAGTCTGCTTCGATTAAACAGCAATTTTTGGGGGGATTTTGGAGAGAAAAGAGACTCTGGAACTCCAACATCACAGGCTCCCACAATAATCAGGACTAATATCGGCCCCATTAATAAGCCCCCTGAAGCAGCAGCTGTTGAGCTGGCAGAAACAGCAGCTTCTACTGATACTGTTTGTGCTGCAACAGGCTGCAGAGCTGTAGGCTCCAGCATTACATCCCATCCTTATTAATAAAGATGCTTGAACAGAAGGGGCTCCCAGCAGGAGTCAGCAATTCTCTACAGCAAATATGGCAAAGAATCAAATAATCACACTCACAGCTATAACCGCCACCAGGAGCCGGTCCCACGGGTCGTAGTATCCTCCGTTCTTTCGCTTCCCTTTCCAGGAGACCTGACAATGCAAAAAAAACCACATTCAGGGGAATAATCACCTACCAGAGACTGCACATTCTACACCACGCTTTAATCTCAAGCAAGTCATTTAAGTTCTGTTGCTCAAACACTTTCTGAGCTCTGCAGAGACCCCGCTCGCACGAGTTTGACGCCAATAAAACTCCATCAAATCCCCTGGGGCTGCTCCTGGTTTAAAGCCTCCGACTCCCAATTAATTCATCTCCCACCACTGTGTTTGCCCAGCCCACGGGCTGAGAAACGCATGGTTTTCCCTTAGATATTTGATGGAAGACGTGCTTCTTTCCTCATTTTAAACCTGCAACATTCCACTTACAGAAAAATACGTGACTTTTCACCAAGAGTTGCTGTTCTTCACGTGTTAAATAGCAAGGGGTGACATCGCAGCAGTAGGCAGGGAACTGCTGTCTCGTTATCACTGGACACCCACCCAACCCCAGACACCTGCAAGTGCTCTGGAGAGGATTTCTTGCACCCCCTTACCTTTATAAAGCAAATCAGAGAGCCAATAAGGGGATAAATTGGAATGAAGATGGAGAAGACGTAATGCAGGACGGTGGTTACCAGGTAATAGTCCAGGAAAAAGGCCACTTCAGTGACAACCGTACAGAGCAAGGCTGTCTGTACAAAAGGGAAAAAAATAGTCCATTTTAATTCAGTTCAGACTCCCAAAGTGTGCGTTTCCTAATTTGAGGCATGTTTTTTAAAGGTTTTATCATTTAGGACACGGCAGTGATAAAGGGACATCGGTAAATTTTTCAAATTCTTGTGCATTAAGGACACAACTAAATAAAATAACTGGGCAGCCCGTTGTGGCTCCGGAGACACCCCATCTTCCTTGCCAACCCAACCCAAGGGAAAGGTACTCACCACTGAAAATATAAATGACCAAAATTCTTTCGTATTCTGGACTTTTCTGAAGGTGAAGGAGACCACGTAGGTGAAGAGCACGACTGAGGGGACGTAACCGATCAGGCAAAAAATCTGCAAAGACAGGAAAGGTGTCTCAGGAAACACACAGCACGAACCAGGGCAATCTTTTGTCTAAGCATCCACTGGGATCATTTCAGTGAGCTGCAGAACTCTGAATTCATCTCTGTCACTTAATTTGATATATTTTGCCACCCTGGTACACACAGCAGCTACTATTAAAGACACAAATAAAAGAGTCCGTGGACAGGCAGGAACCTCACTCGCTCAGTTTCCTTTACATTATTTCCCATTTTTTCAATAACACCATCTCTCATAAATATTGACCTGAGGATTTTGGCAAATATTAGGAATTCCACCCTTCAGCCTTGGCATATTTGCAGAAATTAAAGCCAGGGGAGAGGCACTGGCAGAAAAGGGCCCTGCAGCACCACAGTCACATCCCAAATCTGATTAACTCCGAGCTTCTGGGAAAGCAGCTGGGAAAATGTGATTCTTCTCAATTACAGCCAATATCTCAGGGAAACCCGCTCAGAATATAAAAGACACAGAGACTCGTAGTCTCTCCAGTTTAATCACACGCTGCAATTCACTGCGGAGCCGCTCTGTGCTCAAAGTCACTGTCACCTCCTCGTTAGCTGCGCGCCGACGCAAACACAGCAATTAGCAAGTGGCAGCGAAGAGCAGGCAGGAAAGGACAGAGCATTTCCTTGGAAGATGTAGGTATTTTAAAGCTCCATTTTATTCCAGTTCTGAACAAAACTCTGAAATGGGAATATTTTTCCCCAGGAGAAGTGGCACTATTTTGCCTTTGGTGCAGCCTGAGTGGTGCCTCTGCGCCATTTGGCATCTTCCCCATGTATCAGCTGGAAAAACGTCTATTGAAACATCTAATAAAAATAAACACTGGGGGAAAATAACACAACCATGCTTTCACACCCCCCGTGTGCTCGGCTCCCCACTACACTCACCACAGCCAGGAACTTGCCCACGTAGAAGTAGACGCCGTAGTGGAAGGCGAAGAGGCTGCCGATCATCAGGACGAGGATGGAGAAGAAGAGCGGGAGGTCCACCACGGCTTGGCCCGTCCAGTAGGCAGAGGGGTAAAGCCCCGCGATCTTCAGCTGCGTGTACGCCTTGATCTGCACCAGGAAAATAAAATGCAACATTTATTAAATGTTAATTAAAATTAACACTATGTTAATCTGCCTCAGCATCTGAGCAGGATCTTGTTTTTCCCTCTAACACGCAGCTTTTATACCCACGTGGCGTCGGTGCGTTACCCAGTTATTCCCCGTTTTAGCTGCCAAAGCATTTCCATGGAAAGCAAAAGGGCTCTTCCCAAATCTGCTCTGCCCCAGGCACCCACCCTGCCTCTCACAGCAAAAGGCACCATTTCAAACACCTCTTCAGATTTTCCCCAAACCCCAAAGTTTTCAAGTTCTTGTGCAGTCTCTGAACAAACAGCTGGGATTTTACCTTGTGGTTTTCTGCATTGTCCATGGCAAAATAGGGTGGCATCCCAGTGATGATGATTCCCAGTAACACAGCTTCAAAATAGATCTCCAGTCTGAAAATTGTTTCTGGAAGGTTCTGAAATATAAATCAGATTTTTTTCAGTACCAGAATGAGCGTGACCAAAAAAATGCATTTAGAATTGGACTGGAAATGCTAAAACCCCCATTCTCCGTATCTCCAGATCACCTCAGCTGCAGCACGGAGAGGAACACCTCTGGAAGTTTTTGGATTATTTTTAAGAGTGTCTAATAAACTCCTAGAGCACTGATGCCCTGCAGCAGGTCCTCTCCTCTCCCCAAGTCCACCCCAGCTCCGCGCAGGAGCCAGATGAGCTCCACATCCCCCTGTTCACCCCCGAGAGCTGTGGGTGACCTGGAGCAGATCCCCAATGGGACACCCTCTTCCCAGGGTTCCTCCACTTCCACAAGGGACAGAACAAAACCCCAGCACCTTTCAAGACCTCTTTAATTCCACAGACATCCACTACTTTGGGCCCAGGGCTCCGGACTTTGGATGCGGAGCCCTCGGTGCTGCCGACGCTCCCCAGGGATGCTCCACCACCCGCCCCCGTGTTTGGGGAAGGAAGGGGGGATTTTTGCCATGCTGCTCACCTGAACGAAGGGGTTGCTCCAGATCTGGATGCTCTCCGTCACGTTTAAGCTGCGCAGGAGCAGATTGCTGACAATATTCATCAACACGGGCAGGGAATGCACCATGGTACTGTTGAATATCACCGTGAAAACGTAGTTCTGGAAAGGAAACTGTTTGCTGTGTTAGTTCTTCTGCACAAAGGGTAGTGCCCTGAGAGGGGGGGGTCTTCTCTGGGCTTAATTAAACCTGAACATTGGGAAAAATCTCTGCATAATATAGTATGCTTTGCAGGAAGCTCTGGGCTGCTCAGGGTGGTTACAGCACATTCAGGAAAAAAGTCACGATCATAGAGAAGAAATTATTTGGAATGAAGTCCCAGAGTGTTTTATGCAGCCGTGACACTCAGATATGATGCTCCAGACAATTACAGTCTGAGAAATAAAACACACAGCAGCCTGCACTCGTGTGATCTTGTTAATGCATCTAAAAAGCAGAGAGGCAAAAGCTGGATCAGCTGGGGCTGCTCCGTCCCAGCCACTGGAAGAGCCATGAACAGACACGGGGGGCAGAGGCAGAGCTGGCCCATTGCAGAGCAGGTCCTTTGGTGGAGATTAAATACAGCCCCAACGTTCAGATCCTTCTGACACTCCTTCAGTGACCAGGCTGAAACTAACACTCACAACTCAAGAAACTCATTTTTCTTTACCCATGAGAGCACCACGGAATTATACTTCTGTCAAATTGTATAAATCAGCCAGTATAAATTAATTAAAAAAAAAAAAAAGAATAAATTCCTGTGCCAGGTCTCTTGTGAAGTAAAATATTTCTTTTGGCTTTTTGTATCCTTGTGGGGAAGAAAGGGGGATGGAAGTTTTATTAGCCTACCGTAATTATTATTAGGGAAGAACATTTACTTTGAGAACATTTCCATTCTGCTAACACCAGTGCTCTTTGCAGGCCCCTTGTACAAGCAGCGTTACACGGAATTATTGGATTAGTGACTCTGTCTGTGCCTCTCGGGCAGCAGAACAGCAATGCAGCCCCCGACCAGCCGCTCCTCTGCTCCGGGGACTCGGCCGAGCCGCTCTCTCCATCTCACCTGCCTGGATTCAAGGTCAAACACGTTCAGAGCCGCGCTGTGAGGGGCGGCCGAGACGTAGTCGCTGTCGTTGAACATCTCCCAGAGGACGTTCATGCTCCCGAGAGAGCGGACAATGTCATCGATGTCCGATTCTGGTGCCAGAGAGAGAAAACAAACCATCACTCACCGCCAGCTGGGAGTGCCTCACACAGAATTAAAGATGCATTTTCCCACTGATACAGCCCCGTGAGGAGAGATCCCTGTTTCAGGATCTCAGGAATGGTTCTATTTTGTCTTCCCACCCAACAGCCTCCAAAGCATTCAAGAAATTTTTTGGGTTCTATTCTCCAATTAATTCAAATTGGAAGCCAAATGCAGCAGGGAGGAAGCAGAGCATTGGCTCCAGGTTCCAGCTGAGCAGAGAATTAGCCCAGAGAACCCCACGAGCCCCTTTCCCACCAAGGAAATGCTGTGTTACAGAGACTGGTGAGATGGGGCAGCCCCCACGGAGCGTCTCTGCTCACCCACCCGTGGAGTTCTGCAGCAGGAGACGGCTCCGGTACTTGTGATAGTCCTCACCAGGCTTCAGCAGGTACAGGTCTGGGGAAAGCCTGACAGCAGCTACCGAGTTCTTGATGATGTGGTGTATGAAAAACAATAAAATCTGAACTACAAGAAAGATCAGAAAAAGCAACAACCTGAAAGAAAGAAAAAGTTTCGGTTTTATTAAAATTCAGCAAAAGTATAGCTATAGAAATAGCATATTTCTATGCCCTAGAAATAGCATAAACCCAATTTATGCTATTAAAACATCTTCCTCTCCCTCCCAACCCCTCCCCATATATTCAACAATAATGGATAGCTTCATACTAATTCTTTTTTAAGTGTAACTATGGGATAAAAATTAATCGCATCCTGCCATTTCTCTAGTGCCATTCACACCGGTTTTGAGAATTTTGTGCACAGATGAGGAAGCCCCAATACTCACATAACTCTCACACATTTATTTTCCCGCTTGAGACTAAGGAAATGGACTTTTGCTACGGTGGAAACCTGCTTCTTCCAGAGGGCTGTATTGCTCATGGCTGGGGCCTTCGTCTCCGAGAGCATCAGGAGGCTCTGCTCCATGTCATCGAAGGACTTTGTATCCGCTTCATCCTGCACTTGCTGGGCACTGAACACGCTATAATCTGAAAAAGAAGATTTGATGCTCCGTCAAAGCGACGTGGTTTGAAATGCTGAGGCTGGAGAATGTTGGGTGGCCACCAACTCCTTTCCCATGCTGCTGCAGGACCCATCTCTTCCCATCCCCATCTCTGGGCTTCACCCCAAGCTCAGTGACACCGATCTCCCCCAAAGCCCAGAACCACCCGCACAGCAGAGCCTTAAGGTGGAAGATACAAATTCCTGCAGCTCACAAGGCACAACCTGCCCCAATTTCATACCCTCAGCCTACACAGGCACCCGTACTGCTCACACCAGCACATTCCACTCTTAAACCCTCTTATACCCAAGAAAAAGCTTTGTGGAGCAGGATAGTTTACTCATCTGCATCGCAGAGAAGCCTCTAGAAAGATTAAAATAGTTTAAACCACTCAAAGTTGACATCAGAAGAAGAACTGATTCATTCTGGAGTAATATTAAGTGGTCCCAACTCTTCATTTGAATTGGAAGTTAATTGAAAGGAGGGGAAGAAAGACAAATTCAGCTATTTCAGCCTTAAGTGCAGGCTAATGTTACTGTTCACCCCGAAGGCTGGAAATAAATTTTATACTGTGCATTTACAGTTTCTTGAAAGTAAGCTCCATTAGGAAAATAAAGCACTTTTCAAAAAGCCAGCCACAAAAAGTGCAATTGTAAAGCAAGGAAATTAGATGTGAGTACACTGGATGAAAAATTAATTACTGCAGAGACAGCTAGTAAAGAGCTTTTCCCCCAGAACCCCCCCAGAATCAGTCCCCACCCACGCTGCTTCTGTGTGTTTTGTGTGTTGAATATTTCAGGAGCCTCGGACACGGAGCGGCCCGAGGAGCCCCACGCTGCTGGGAGTAACACTGCAAGAGGGTTTACTCTGATCTCTACAGCAGTGATGTGGCATGGACAACTCTACACTAATTAGGACTCAAATTAAATAGGAGGGAGACCAGGAAAACAGTCACAGTGCATCCCACCTGCTTGGTCGATCTCTGCCTCAACTTCCAGCTTCAGATAGACATCCTCCAGCGTCGTCATGGAAACCCCGTAGGTGATAACGCCCAAATGGGAGTGAGTGTCCAGGTCAGAGAACAAGCCTAGAGACAGAAGTGAAACGTACTGGTTGCTCTGGAACAGGATTTCATCGTCTTCCTGAGAGATCCCCAAGCACATCAGAACCATCCCTAAAGCCCTCCGCACGGCAGAAAAAAAGCAGGTAAGGGGCAAGATGGTTGCTTAATTATGAAGACACAGATCACTTGAGAACCAAGGTTGGGATAAGCTCTTTTTAGCACAAAACCTTTCAACCTCTGTGGTCAGGTGTGGGAACCGTGGCCTGTTTTCCCCAATCTGTAGTGTTCGTGAAAACCACCTCAGCATCATCCCAGAGCTCCTGGGCTCAGAGCTGGCTCCTGGCTGGGTGAGAAACATCACACACAGGGACTGCAGGAGGGCTCACCCTGCTGAGATCCCTCCCAGGAATAAAGAGATTTTACAAATAACACCACTGAGTATTTTTATATACATATATATATACATATACACACACACAACCAGCTCTTTTATATACATATATATATATATATACACAATCAGCTCTGTAAAGCCAGCTTAACTGGGCAGGAGATCCTGGGTGGCAGGCATAGCTTGAAGACCAAAATGATGTTCAGAGTAAGAGCACTTATTGGCACCCCGGGATAAAAAATGTTATTGGGCTCTTGCCAGTCCTATGAAGTGAAGGACTTGAAAAAACGAGGAGCTTCAGAGGCAAGGTCACACTGAAGGGAAATGCAAATGTGTAAAAGGGGCAGAGCAGTTGCATACACAATGATGCTCATCAGATCTCCGTGATTTCTTCTGCCCCAGTAGCTGAAGCGTTTCCCTAACCTCGGCTTCTCCTTAAAATAGTTTGGGGGAAAGGATCCAATCCTGCCTAGAGATGCCCGTTTTTCAAGAGTACACGCAGTGGCTGCTAAAGGTAAAGCTAATAAATTATTAACTGGTCAAATGCAGCGGGGAAAGAAGCACTTATGAAATATGAGCTGCATTCCCATCAGTATCGATTCTCCCTCAGCTTTCCACACAGAGCAAAGGACACGCTGTTTCTTCCATGTTCTCCTGGGAGATGATCAAGGACTGCCCAGATAATTGCTGCCATCTAGTGAAACCAGTATGGAGGCTCCAGCTCCCTCTCACCACTGGACCCTACAATGGTGACACCACGTTCTTTGTGGCTCTCAACAAGGGGGTTAGTTATTGTAGGGTCTGGAGGCCAGCCCTGCTCCCTGCGACACTCTGCAGTGAGATGGTGGGTCTGCAGGACAAGGGCATTCTCCAACAAAAGGGTCTCTTCACCCTCCTGCCAAAGGCTTCTCCCCAGAGCTTGGGGCCAGGCACCCACATCCCTCTTGACCTACCACAACCCCCTTGGAGGAGGTGACGAGCTCCTCGCTCGCCTGAGAAAGACCTTGCAGACTGATCCATCAGCCAAATCACAGCCAAACAATGAATATGTGCAGAAACACATAAAAGCAGCAGTGACAACTTCACAAGGACTGCAGGCCCCAGCCACGCTTGATGGATTTCTCAACCCTGCACCACGACGAGCCCATCCATACCTGCAAACTTGTCCATGTCCTTGAGTGGCAGGGTGTAGACGAGCTGCTCGTCGTTCTGCTGGATGAGGCTGGCTGCAGGGATGTGCTGCCGGATCAGCGAGGTCGTGGCTTCCGTGTTGCAGTAGGCATCGATGTGCATGCTGAGAAAACACACAAGAAATTGGGGTTTTGAAGCTTGCTTTTCTCCTTGTGCCTGCATCAGAACTAGCAGTGATGTGCATGCTGAGAAAACACACAAGAAATGGGATTTCCTTCCGCCTGCATCAGAACTAGCAGCCAGCAGAGCACCAAACACGCAGTATGAAGATGATGACAGGATCATTTTGGGAGGACATGGAGTGCTTGCTTAGAGATTTCAACAGCAAACAATAAAAAAAGGTAGATGTCACGTAATTGGCATCACCCACAAAGAATACCTCAAGCGGTAGCCAATTCCCCATTTGCTTTTGAGAAAGAGAGAAGATCCAAGGCATTTCAGCATCCCTTGAGAAATCACAGCTTTGCGATCTGGAAACAGACAAACAAAAACATAAATGGGAGGACTGTCAATTTAGTCCCAAAAAAACACCTACGTATTTCAAATAAAGGCACGGTTAGAGAAGCATCACTTTTTGCTCTAGAGGGTGGCTGTCACTGGGCAGGACTCACCGGCGAGGATATCTGCCTCGTCCATGAAGTGGGTGCTGAAAACGGTGACACGGTTGGCTTTTCTGTTTCTCAGGAGGTTCCAGACGACGTGCCGGGAGCAGGGGTCCATTCCCGCCGTCGGCTCGTCCAGCAGCAAAACCTTTGGGCAAAAACAAGGAGCGTTTGTGGAGCCGGGTCTGGGCACGAGGTACCGACCCCACCTGAGAAACAGAGACTGGGATTTTCCTTTAACCTGCTCCTTAGGCCTCTAGAACATTCAGGAAACATCCCTGAGCACGCAAGGCATTTGTCTTCACTGAGCTTTGAATAAATTATCTGCTGTTGTGACAAATGGAAAACTCATGCAGTAAGTTAATGCCAGAGTCTGCTTTATTCTGTTTCTAACGTGGTTAGGGTTAGCTGTGTGTTCACTCCCTCTAGTAGGGGATGGGTAAATACACACACATGCTTTTACAGTCCCAGTGAAGTGTCATCACAAGCATCATTTCTAAATACAGATCTAAAAGTGGTTCCCAGAAACAATAGATCTGTAACAGAAAGGAGCTCCCGGCTCCATCCCTGCTCCAAGGGGCTTTGCGAGGAAAGTCTCCCACAGTGTCCTGCTGGGAGCTAAACTCTACCTGCCAGAGACAACACACGACTTGTCACCCTGTTTGTTTCACAAAGAGATCAAATCCAGAGCTCCTGCCATCACCTGGGGCATCACCGATCTCAAGCACGAGCTACAGAAGGGACTTTAATTGTTTAAAAACGTAAACGAAGAGAAAGAGAGCAGCAGATGCTCACAGGGACAGCTTCTGCATCTTACACATTATTTTATACCTTAGTTGTGACAAGGGACATCAAGCCCTATGTGTGTTGGTGACAGCATCTGGGAACATCTGTCCCACTCACCTTTGGGTTCCCCAGAACAGCAACTCCCACCGACAGCCGTCTCTTCTGGCCCCCGCTTAATTTTTTAGCTTGGTTGTCTCTGATGGGCTGCATATCCAAATCCAGCAAGAGCTCCTGCCATCACCTGGGGCATCACCGATCTCAAGCACGAGCTACAGAAGGGACTTTAATTGTTTAAAAACGTAAACGAAGAGAAAGAGAGCAGCAGATGCTCACAGGGACAGTTTCTGCATCTTACACATTATTTTATACCTTAGTTGTGACAAGGGACATCAAGCCCTATGTGTGCTGGTGATGGCATCTGGGAACATCTGTCCCACTCACCTTTGGGTTCCCCAGAACAGCAACTCCCACCGACAGCCGTCTCTTCTGGCCCCCGCTTAATTTTTTAGCTTGGTTGTCTCTGATGGGCTGCATATCCAAATCCAGCAACACCTTCTGCACCTTTACAACGTAAGATACACATTTTTCGTTAAAAAAAGGCCACAAATTTTTTTTAACCTAATCATCAACAATTAACATTTAAATTAGCTGTTCCTAATTCAGTGTGTTCTGTGTCTGATCCGCGTGCCCTGTCCAAACCTGTGCATCCACAGACTTAAGCTCCAGCGAACCTGAAGAATTAAAAGGTGTCTGTGCTTGAACACAAGCACCAGAATTTGAAACGTTTCATGAGCGTTTTAGTTTCCCAGGAAAAAATTAGCAATTTCTGTAAAATCACCTGTCTGTTTGCTGCAAAGTAATATTTCCCCCCAAACATGTCTTAAGGCATTACCTGCGCAGCGCGAGGGTGTTCTGCCCCACAGCAACACCTTCTGCACCTTTACAACGTAAGATACACATTTTTCGTTAAAAAAAGGCCACAAATTTTTTTTAACCTAATCATCAACAATTAACATTTAAATTAGCTGTTCCTAATTCAGTGTGTTCTGTGTCTGATCCGCGTGCCCTGTCCAAACCTGTGCATCCACAGACTTAAGCTCCAGCGAACCTGAAGAATTAAAAGGTGTCTGTGCTTGAACACAAGCACCAGAATTTGAAACGTTTCATGAGCGTTTTAGTTTCCCAGGAAAAAATTAGCAATTTCTGTAAAATCACCTGTCTGTTTGCTGCAAAGTAATATTTCCCCCCAAACATGTCTTAAGGCATTACCTGCGCAGCGCGAGGGTGTTCTGCCCCACAGGTTAGAAATGAACGTGTCAGACAGGATCCGTGCCCAGGTGACTCACCTCTTGGATCAAATCGTTCTGGGGGATTCCTTTGATGGCAGCAAATACGGAGAGATTCTCCTCCACGGTCAATATATCGAAGTGGATGTCGGACTGGGGGCACACCCCCGCGATCTGCCGCACCTCCAGCATCTCATCGATTTCCGAGACCTTGTGCCCGTAGACAGAGACAAACCCTAAAAAATACCCAAAAAAAAGAAAAGAAAAAGGCAGAAGAAATCAACTGAGAGGTATTTTTTTCACTAATGTGGGCATGAATTTACAGCGGACTCTTCCAGACGCTATCCAGAGAAAAATGTGATGCATCCCGAAATAACCAGAAGGTTACTCTGGATTTCTGAAGCTGGGCACCCCAGATCTCCTGACCCCCAGAAGCTCACCGTCTGTTGGTGGACACAGCCCGCAGAGGATGTTCATCAGGGTGGTCTTCCCGGTGCCGCTGTGCCCCAGCAGAGCCGTGATCTGACCCTCGTAGATGTCGAAGGATAAATCTGGTCCCCGGGGCAGGGGTGAGACAGAGAGAGAGGAGATGTCAGGGATGTGCTCCTGGCACCCAGAGCCAGCTCCTACCGCAGAGGGAAATTCAAATACTGCCATATGGGGTATGCATGTACGCTCTGCTCCCAGGGACACCTTACCTCCAACGGGCCCTGCACTGCCTGAGGGGTGGCTTTGTTTAAAAACCACACGGGGAAAGGAGATGAGAAGATGAGGGAAACAGGGCAGGGAAGAACATATCACTAACGACACGGGGAGAGGAGGAGTAACGGGGACGATGCCAGCTTTCTTTAGTGACAGAGGGGCTCCTCTGTTTGGGGTATCATTTCAAACTCGATCACTGGCAAAGCACTGAGAGAGGACACACACAGGCACACCTGGCATTCATGCTCCACGGTCCCACCCCGCTAAAAGAAACCAAAAAGCCCAAACTGAAACAGAAAAGGTCACTCGACAGCTCAGCTCTCGCTCCTCGGCCCCTGACAAGCAGCTAAAAAGCTAAAATGTTCTTACTTCTGAGAGCCTCCACAGTTTCCCCCTTTTTCCTGAATGTTTTCTGAACACAGCTGATTCTGAAAGAAGACACGTCATTTTATAAACTATTTTAGGATCTTTAAACATCATTTTGAACGATCAACACTCGGCAACAGTCACAACGAGACGAGCGTGTGGAAGCGGCACTGGACACGCTAACGACCTGGAGTCGCAGACCTAAGGCCATCTCCACCAGAAACCTGTTTCTGGTCACCTGCTAAAGTATTTCCTGTGATGACAGCCCGAATTATTTCAAATCTGTGTCTCTTCCACACAGTAGAACAACACACCAGAAGCTTCCCAAGCTAGAGAAGGGCACAGCTCCTCCCCAGCAGTTTCACACCCCAGAGAAGGTTCAGCAGACACGGTGTGGAAGCAGGGATTAGCAGACCAGACTCCAAAGACGTGATTACTGACTGTTCCTGATCAAAGTCAGGCAAAAGAAAACCGGTATCTTTCTCTCCAAGAAAGGTAAAAACCTCCCCTCCAGCCCCACCGTTTTTCAAAATGAAAAAACCCAACCATTTTGTCTGAAGGCACCAGGTGAAGGATGGGTTTTGGAAGCCTGGCCACCCTGAATGGGGCGGGGGTTACAGGTGTGAATAGTGGGAAAGAGAACTGGGTATGAAAGAAAACAAAACCTGTATGTGTAAAGATGACAAGACAGTGAGAAAATGATGGAGAGCTGGTGGAAGGATGCCATGGAAAGAGTCCAGGGTGGATGAATAATGCTAAAAGGGCCACAATGTTCTCATGTGAACATCGGGATTAAAACTGAACCCTTCAACCTATGGCAGATGCCCAAGGAGACATGGATAGCGCAGACAACACAAGATGCATCTGCTCACTAAGCTCAAATAATTATTTGAGACTAACGGAGCCAACCTGGAGGAGAGAGGACGCAGAGTTCCTCAAATCCCATCGGGCTACACCATTGGAAAACGATGGAAACAATATCTGAGACACACTAAAAATACAGGACAGTCCAGATGCAAGACAATGGGTGACAAAATGCAACAAGAAGATGAGCATGGCCATTATTCTTCAGTCTTGTTTTACCCTCTTAGATACAGCAGCTGGGTAAAACCACCACCAAGTTCTCCTCTGGCCTATGGAGAACACAAAAGCCTCCACACCGACCTAGAATTCAGCTTTTTCTCCTCAAATGTGTGTTACCAGAAAACTAAACCCTCTCAGAAGAGTAGGCGTTTCAACATCTGCAACCGCTTACGCCTCTCGTGGCCTCGGTGGGACTGAGGGAATGGAAAAGCGGCCGGTTTTGAGAGGGCTCCAACGGAGGAACACAACCCACAAACAAACCCCTTCCTTAAGCCCCGTGACCTGCCCTTGGAGAGCATCCACCACCTCGATGATGGGGCTTCCTTGAAGATGGAAGCTCGCCGTGCCGAGGGCTCCCCGCAATGCATACCATATGCTATTTGAATCCGACGAGCGGAGAAACAAGAGTGATTTTCAAATCACACCCCCCCAAAAACACCAGGGCCCCAGGTGAGCTGCCCACCAGCACGTGGGGCAGGGTGGGACTCCTACCTGATGGCCTCTTTGCCCTGGAATTCAGAAGGCACAGGTTCCACCATCTCACTGAAGCTCGAGCTGCCGTTGACGCTGCTCTCGTACAACTCCTTGTAATTTTTCCTGCGCTTTGACCAAAACGAGGGCTTCATGAAGAAAAACGGCGTGCGGCGCAGTCCAAACTCCCCTGCGTAATAAAGGGAAAAAACCCAATGTTTCGTTGTTGTAACTGCAACATTGCAAAGTGCTGTAAAAGTACAAGAAGTCCCGGGATGAGAGTAGCTATTCCTCAGCTTTGGGGTGGCAGCTGTAGAAGGAGCCAGCCCACACCCCATTTCTGGAGGGATTTCACCAGCCAACTCTCCATGAGCTGCATTTAAGCCACGGTTCCCACCAGCACCATGAGCAGGTTCCAGTTGTGCCAAGTGTTTAAATATCTGTGCAAATCTCTTCTCCTGCAAGAGAAATCCCCGGTGCTGAGAGACCAGTGACTTAACCGTGGGCAGCAGAAAGCCCCAGAGACCAGAGGCGAAGGGGCTGGAGGGCTTAACCAGGCACTAGTCACGAGATTAACAACTTTATTCTACGTGTCAGGTTAAACTGGTGCTGTCACAGGGAACGGGCTGGAGCAGGCAGAGTGTTCTTTAATTTTCAGCCCTGGAAGAGCAAATTCCCAAGGCTGAGGCACTGGTTATCCCAGAGAGGAAGCTTTTCCTTTAGGAAGAGGGAAACAAAGTTTAGCCGCCGTAGCCAAAGGCCATCAATTCTAAAGACACTAACACCCCTCCTCACACCTCTCAATATAAATAATTATTATTATTATTTCAGCTAAAAGTATTCCGAGTCACAGCGTAGGATGTGTTTGTAAAGAGCAGCCTCTCCCTCTCCACAGCAGGAGATGCCACCAGGCTAAGGACACCAGGAACTGGTGATGCTGCCACAGCTCAGTTCTGTTCTTCCTCATGGACGTACCTGGGATAACCTGGTCAAGGTAGACGGCCATGAGGAGGTAAAACACGCTGTCCAGCACCAGCAGAATGAGAGAGATGAAGAGCGGGTAAGGACCCCGATTGAGATTTGAGAACGTGGCACCATCTTCATAATCTTCCAGGTGCATGACCTGCCAGGGAACATGGGGAGAGGGAGATGTCACACACCCCCACGGGACACGGTGCAAAACTCAGCAACAGGAAAAAAACAAACGGAATTAAAAGTGACTGAGATCACAGCGACAAAGAATAACAGTTGCCTGATGGTGGGCTCTATAACACTTGGCATTAAATTGCCAGGGGAAGCTATTAAAATAGGCATTTTCCCCCACCACCAACAGTGTATTAATAAATAAATAAATATATATTTAAGAATACCAACATCAGTACCTATTTGAAAACGATGCAAGATGAGCACACTGGGGCTGCCATGGGAGCAGCCGGGTATTTACCTGCGCGACACCGATCAAGAAGCTGCACTGACACAAGGGGCTGAAAAGCCACACGAAGGACTTGGGGAACTCCTCCAGCAGGACGATATTAAGGCCCACGAAGCCAAAAGCCAGCGTGGCCAAGAACTCCACTATTCCCACGTGCTTTGACTTCTTAAACAGAGGTGTCAGCATGAGAGCAAAGAAAACCTAGAGGCAAATTAAAAAAAAAAAAATATGAGAAGGTACTATATAAAAAAAAAAATAAAATACAGGGTATAGAAAAACTAAAGTAAAAAGAGCCATAGTTTCAATTTTGCTTCTGATAATCATATCGTTTCCCTGGCAGGGTCCCCTGACACACGTCCCACCCTTACAAACAGGTCAGGAGGGACAATTGCCCAAAGATCCCAGGTGACAGAGCACAGAAAAAGAGTTATAGAAGAAAAATAAGGAGCCGTAGGGCTGAGCACACACGTACGCCATGGTCAGTACCTTCTGCAAGCAACAGACAGCACCATTTCTAGAAATAACCATCATTTCTTAGAAGTAACTGTTTCTGCACCAGTTGCTTATGGACTCCAACAAGCAATTTGCTGTATGAATTAGTTCTCTGACCCTTAATGAGGGTTTTACCATGACGCTGTATGTTAACAGCACACGTTTAGAAGAGGGCACGGGTCGGGACATCAAAACGGTGCCGTAGGGAGCGTGTCCAGTTCATGGACAGACGCTGATGAACTCAGATACTTCATGGAGGAGAGATGCTCAGGGAGGAGAGGGGCCAGGGAGGACACCCACCCACCACCCTCTGCTCCGACCGAACCTTCCCTGGCTCCAAACACTCTGGTGGAGAGAACAAAACCTGATGGGAAGGAAAAAACCCAAAATCCCAGGGATGGGATGGCTGAACACAACAGGAGCAGGAAAACTTACTGAGGAGATTCCATAGAGGAAAAACAGGAGAAATATGACGAAGGCGCTGCTCTGGGGGAAGAGGGAGGAGGCCGTTGCAATCACTGCCATGAGGATGGACATGACAAAAATCAGGCTCATGTAGAGCAGCACCCAGGAAAGCCTGGGAGCAAACGGGGGGAAAAAAGAACAGAAACCAGTCAATGAATGCCCAGCCTGAATTATTCCCACATAAAAATAGCTAAAACTACCAGTCTTTTAATATTCCAGACAGCTGCACCAAGGGACAGGCTCACAACAAAACAAGGGCCCCCAAACAAAAGGAGCTTTTGTAAACATCCCTGGGATTGTTGGAGGCATTAGAGCACACGCATCAATACCCACAGCATCAAACAGATACACAATTAGATGATTCATGATTTTTTTTTTTTTTCCTGAACTTGCATAATTAATTCCCTGGTATAACCAAAAGAGAGTAACTGAGTAGTAGGTTTCAATAATTAAAGAAATTCTATTTAAAATTTAATACAGTAGTCATTCCAGTAGCTGGGCAGGGTAATAAAATCCTTTTCTTTTCAAAACCAGAGCTGTGAGTCTGTGAGCAATTCTGACCCCGGGAAACAAAGGTGGTTTGTGTCCAGGTAGTAAAAAAAAATAAAATAAATGTATTTTCCTCAGACAGGGGTTTCCGAGTTACACTCAGTGGCCGACGAAGCTGCGTCACCAGCAGAGAGGTCCCAAAGAACATGTATCAATATGGGGATAGGTGCTTTACATATATAAGTATATATAAATTTTTATACAGACGTTTATTTGCAAGATTGCTCCCATTTCACACTGGGAAAAGTAAAAATTATTTTCTCCAGACCAGAGATGCTCGATGCTGCTGTGTCAGTCACCAACACTGCGGGTGAAGGACTCTGCTAAATAACATTTGCCACCAAGGACGTACCACAAACAAACACAACTCGCTGCCAGAAGGGAGCTTGGGCACAGAAATTAAATAAAAACAACCAGAAAACAAAACAAAACAAACCCACCCAGACAACCCCAGCTGGCTGACATGGGGCAGCAGGGAGGGATGGCAAAATGCTGTCGGCCACTGGTATGAAGATAAAAACCTGTTTTTATCTCTGCAACTATCAGTGGTTTCAAATTAGTACATCCCCTCATTTGGAAAAAAAACCCCACCATTACATGGCACAGGACAATTTCCATCACAGTTAGGAAATGAATTAAAACCTGTTGCTGAGGCTGCTCTGTCACGTTAAAATTATAGACTGAGGTTCATTTAATTACGTGGGGGGGAAACTGCTGCTAAGCTTGGAAGAGAGACTGCAGGTTACCTGCTGAGCCTTATAAAAGGAGGTGCTGAGCCAAAAATGCTTAAAAAAAAATAAAAACAAACCACATAAATATCTCACACATCATCACGTGCAATCTCTCCAAGTCTGGCATAACTTTTCAAGCATAAACACAACAGTATTACTCTGCTATTTATTAAAATATTCCTATTTTCATGATACTGCAAGAATCTCTACATTAGATTTTACAGAGTACCTCACTTTTTGGCTGCTTCCAGTTAATTGGACTGAAAACAATTAAAAAACTGGAGCAGGGGATAGAGGAGTTTCCCTAGAAAGTATTAGTTTTTAATATTTCTTTTCAAAAGTGTTATTTTTTTTACATTTCTTTATGTATTTTGCACTCTTTAAAATAAAGAACGAGCTCTACCAAACGCTCACGTACCAGAAGGCGGTGTCATGAAGCCCCAATATTTTCAAGAATTCCTTCAGCTTCCTCTCCTTCTCCGCCACGATGTGAATGGCCAGGTAATACCCGAACGGGGAGAAGGCGATCACCAGGTAGATGAGGATGATGGCACGAGGGAAATTATCGATTTCCACCACAGCAGCCTCTCCCATGACCATGGCTCTCGTCACCTGGAGCTGGTCCCACACCGAATGGTTCGTCTTCAGCTGCGGGGAAGAGAAGGGAGAGTGATTTTTGCATCACTCCCCATCCTCAGCCCATCCCCGGCTCCATCCCCCATCACGGGGCAAGACTTGGAGCCCCCAAAACCTTGCTGTCCCCAAACCCCAGTCCAAAAAGCTCAGGAAGTGGAGAACATCTGAACACCTGGAGATGAAGTGATCCGTTTTGCAATTTCTATCACCAAAAGGGACGGGAGGTGCTGCTACCGCGGGCGGCACGATGGGAGGGGAACAGGGAAAAGGGCATCGCTGACAAATACTGACAATAAAATTGTGAGGAAAACCCCACCCTGGCTTGGAACAGCATCTCCAACAACCCCATGGGGCCAGCACTGCCCAGACTGCATGTTTTGATGAGTTCTGGGGTGTTTGGTTTGGGTGTGTTTGGACCCCAATGGAGACAAACGTCCCCTTTATCCAGCAGCAGGAGAACACTTCTGCACAAAATACAGCAAACCCACCCGAAATCGTCTGCCTTCTCACTGGATCCAGGCTAATTCTTGATAAGGCATTTTTCACAATTAACAGACAATATCAAAGCCCCTCAGAGCCCAGGCAGCCCGTGGGCTCCAACCTCCCTGGGTTTATGGGTCATTTTTCCAGCTTTACCTGTATAATGGCAGCATCGATGCAGGCCTGCAGAGCCGTGAACCCCGAGCTCCAGTACGTCACCGACTCACAGCCCTTCCGCAGGTTGGAGCAACTGGCTGCAGAATAAAGCAATTTTCAATGCAGATTTTAAAATGCTGAGCTCCAGCCACCCCATCCCTAACATGAAGAGCGTGCAGCTTGAGGCCACCCCTGAGAAACGGCAGAAAAAACTTGCAAAAATGCAACATATGCAACATCAGGCCAAAAAAAGAAAAAGAGAGGGTGGTGTTTCAGTTCCTCCCTTGGCAGACCCACATGAGAGGGTGAGCATTTACCTCTGGATTCGGTGTAAAGCGAAGCCATCGCCACCGAGTCGGGAAACCTCAGCTGGTAGGACATGGCTCCGGTGAACACGACGCCCACGAAGTTGGAGGGTTTAAAGGCACTGGACTCCTGCAGGTCCTCCTCGCTCAAATACTCCTCTGTGATGAGGCCTGGGGGACAGCAGGGGTTATCACCGAACATTTGGGCATCGGCACAGCGGGAAATAAAACAGTGAAACAGTTTTAAAGAAGTACTGTGTCAATTATTAATGATATTTTGGGGTTTGGAGAGAGAGAGAGATATATTTGTATACATATAAAAATATAAATATATACAAAAGTATCTATTATATTTATATAAAATATATTAACTTATATAAATATTATAATATGTTGTATATATTATATAATATATATTTTTATATATTATATTTTTATTTTTATACATATAGGGTTATATTTTTGTCCCAATGAAGGCAACATTCTCCTGAAGAGAAGCCTGCAGGAGCGTCGCTCACGAGCAAGATGGGTAATTCAAATTTATTCCTGAGTCTTCCCCCTTTTGCCCCCCCCATTTTTTGCTGCTCTGACAGGTTCTGTGCCCCAGCCCCCTGCCAGTGACCCGGGAGGTCGTTCTCCAGCACCAGCACTTTTCAAGAAGGGCAGATGAAGTGTTGCGGAGGGATAAATACATGAAAATGTGGTATTTTGCCAGCGGCTGCAGGGGAGGGAGAGGGGCTGCGAAGGCAGGACCCGGGTGAGGGCTGGGTCTCTGCAGCGTCTCTGAAGCACAAATACCACAAGGAAGAGCATCAAAGATACCAAACTAAAAATAAACAAGAGTGGTTTTGGAGAGATAAGTTCCCGCTAGAGATGTCAGCTGGGCAGGGAAGGCACTTAAAAAAAAAAAATAAATTAAAAATAAAATGCTTTCAAAAGCAGAGGTGACACAGTGCTAATGGGAATTAGCATTAAAAAAAGAGAAAAAAAAATTAAAGAATGTTGTTTTGCTAATAACAACGGGATAGAAAATGCAACCTCATGGATCTGCAGAACAGACCATCTCCCGAACTGCCCCCGGGTGTCACAGCACGAGTGCTGATCGGCCCCAGAGCTCTTCAAGGGCTTCTTGTACTCGGCATTTAGGTCCCCCCAAACCTTCCTGCAGCCACACAGCCCTGTTGGCTGCACCAGGAGCAGGGGACCTGCCCCGAGATGGCACTGCCAGAACATTTGCTGACCAAGCCAAAAAAACAAAACGCCTTCACAGTCCGTTCTCTCTCTGCCATGGAAAAGAAATGGCTTTTTTTGTCTTTTTTTTTTCCCCTGTTGTCAGCAGCAGCAGCAGCACAAGCTCCCCCTCCGAACACAAGGCACAGAAAAACAAAACGCTCAGGTTCTGGGTACCGTCTTCGAAGTTATCGAAAGCCACTTTCCTCATGATCTCTCGTGCCAGGGGGGTCGGTGGTGTGTACCCGATGACAAAATTCACCAGCACCGAGGTGTCCAGGCTGCCCAGGTTGGTGTTGGCCACCGCCTCGTATTTCCTGTGCGGGTGCATCATGCTCATCAGGATCAGCCAGAACAAGAAAAAGAGTGGGAAAAGGACCTCCTGTGCAGAGAAATTAATAAATAAATAAATATGAAAACTTCACAGAGCGGCCCTAGTAACAAAAAATTCCAAAAGTTTCTCTTAGTTACACAAAGCTTAAAAGGAGCAACCATGAGTTTCATTACTCGACTGTAAAGTTCTCTCAGTGCTTTCAATGCAGCAGTGATTTTATTGCCAAATCCTCCTCTGGCACCAGAGCAGGATTTTAATGGCACCCACTGGTAACCGAAGAAGCCATTTTAAGGTACAAAGAGGTAACTCTACGTGCTTTAAGTATCAGCAAACAGGCTGTTTGGAAAGCAGCAAGCCATGAGCCATTAAACAAGTCCAGCCGAGCACTGCACTGCCTTGTCTTCACCTCAAAATTCACCTTAAACCATCACACACATTGCCCGTGCACAGGGCTAATGTGTCAGAAAAGAGAAAAACCTTTTGGAGAGGTCTAATCCCGCTTTTCCACTCGGTTCCGGGTGCAAACAGTTTTAAAAGTGCGCTAAGATTGCAATATTCATTCAAGGGTATTTTCTGGATAAAACTTTACACGTTGAGGTACATTTTCAACCAAAGGATCACAAAATACCTTCTGGAAAAGCCTATTACAACCCCAAATTCAGAGCAGACCTTAAAGCTTCAGAATTATTATAATAAAACAGAGGGTTG